ATTATTATTGAATGAGAAAGAGTGCAATTGAGATTGTATATAAAAGGAAAAGAAGACAAAGTCTAGGAGAACAAATTCCTAGCGAGGTGAGATACCCAAACGATGCTATAGGAATTAGTAAATATTTTATCAAATTGAGGCGAAAGACCGGATGAGGTAAGCCTACACTCTTAATTCTAGAAGTTGGGAATTTGGGCCTAATCTTGAATAAGAGAGCAGCTTCAATTCTAAAACTGGGAAATCTGGACCTAACCTTGAATTGAAAAGCTAAAAGGGTGCAAAAGCTTATGGTTATCACATGACTTGTTTAATGAGGTAGGACAATTGACAAGATAAAAAGTAATGTTATGCATTTCTCGTGAACAATATGAAATTTCAATTGGAATTTCAACGAGTTCTAAATTAATTATTAACAATGTTATTATTAATTCGTATATATTGATTGTGTATTTCATTGAGCCTAGCTCATTAATAGTGGTTATATTGCAGGAAAGGAGAATGAGTTCGTAGGGCACTAGACAAAAAAGGGGTGACTGTTTTTTTTGGTGTATATATATTTTGGGTGTACAAAGATATCTGAATAATTGTTGTACAGACTTTTGGATATTTAAATAAATTTTAGAGATTTTTAGTAAAGCTCTGTAATTCCTTTGAGATGTACATTTTATGATATATACTGCCTACTATAAAAACATTGATGTATTATGATTAGTGTTGTGAGGATAGTATGAATAGACTACTTTTTATTTATCTAGTTCGGTTATCGGTGTTTTCAGAATGGGGATAAGTAAGAAGATGTCTATTTAGATTCTCCTTCGCTGTCGACTCTAGATTGACGGTGGGGGCTCAAAATGTAACACCCCACATTACCCTTGACCAGTACTGTAGAGTGTAACAACAAAAACATATTATTTTCTTTCCATAAAGTTTTTTTTTTTTAAACAGTTAACCACTTGCATAACTATACGAAGTATCTTATAAACCTTCATTGATACATTAACTGAAGTACTTAACATTTTTAAACTTCCACAACATAGTTACAGAGCCACTAAGGAACATCCAAACAAAATACTTCAAATGAATGTTTACATACCCTTAGCTAATCCTTACTAATAAAAATAGAAATAACACAACATTGAGGTACTTGAAATCTAATCATCAACAACTTTATCTTTTTCTTTACCTGTAAAAACAGCCAGAAGAAAGTTCTGGTGAGCTATGAGGCTCACATAAGCTATGAAAAATTAATTAACAATAAAAATAAATTGATAAAATGAAATACAATATTGAGCTAATCATTGCACCCACTTATCATTATTTGAAAAGCATCATATTGGACATCATCTTTTATGTCATTTGAAATATATATTGAATATTTAATCTTTTAAAAGATTTGGCTATACTGTCGGTAGAGTAGTACTTGGAGGAGAGGGATAGGGTGTTAGTTGAATTAAAAAAGGCATTTATTGAAGGCTCAGCATATCATGAAGAAATAGGCATATGAGTATAAGAAGAACAACCAATTTGAGATAGGGGATAAGATATACTTGAAGCTTAGTCCCTACAAATAAAGGACGGTAGCTAACAAGAGGAATGAGAAGCTGACATCGAGATATTTTGGTCCTTATGAGATATTGGAGAGGATTGGAGTAGTGGCTTATCGATTGCAGCTACCCCCGACCACTACTATACATCTAGTGTTCTATGTGTCACAATTGAGGAGAGCTATCAAATATCATTCATCTAATTCAGAGTTACTCGGGCACAAACAGAGGATTTGGAGGTGGTGTTACTAGAGCTGAAATGGGTGCGACAAAGAAAGAGATCAAGTGTTGATAAAATGGAAGAACATACTCGACTATGATGCCACATAGGAGTCGTACGAGATGGTGAAGAAGCAGCTTCCATCTTTCCACATTTAGGAGAGGGATGTTGATAGACCATTCCCTACTGGATTAGTTATAGAAGGGTCAGTCCATCTTGGACAAGCCAGGGTCTAGACCAACAAGGGGGGATCCCGCCACCTTGAAGTGGGCCAAAGGAAGATTTTTTAATAAGGGGGCGGGGCCAGGAGAGAAATTTCAAATAGGGAGGGCTGTTTAAGGATTTGCTTTGGAGGGATTGTATACTTTAAGTAGGTTGTTTACCTAGGGTTTCGGTTATGTCTTGTTTGCTGCTTTTGAAGTTTGCCTAGGTTCAGAGGGCTCTAGCCGATGGCTAGAAATTTGGGAGAGCAGGATCTTCCTCTCCAATTGAAGATTCATTTGTATCTTGTATTTTTCTTCATAGTTCTTTCAATAAAAATTATTTTTGGGTGTTCTTCTTCCCAATCTTCTTATGTCGATCACAGATTTTTGCTGAAATCGCATCCACTTTATATCACAGGACTTGTGCAGAACTTGTGACGGACTGGAAGTTATGGAGGAAAGATAATTTGAGAGAAGTGTTATTAGGATGGAAATGAAACCCTAGTAATTGACTATGAATCAATCCAAAGAAGTAGATAGTCCAAGCTAGCATGCTGCACAGAAGATAAATCGTCGGAAACAAAACAAAAGATTTTCACATCCAGGTTTTAAGAATGATGTCCAAATTACAAGAGCAAAAATCAGTGCAGACCAACAAGTTAGATATGCTCAATATTGGTTAATAAGTTCTTTTGTTTCTAGCTTACACATGACTAGGTATGGCTGTCTATCATAAATCATTATCAGATATCTCTGCAAGCCACTATCTGCAAGAAAGTACCATTGTAAAGCATAAAAACCGCAATAGCATGCTACTAATGATTAGCATTTTGTCTAACTAGCAAAAACATTTTAAAATACACATCTAAAGATTGCAGCAAGTTTCCAAAATAACCAAACCGCCTAGGTTCCTACTTCATGGGATTCAAGAAGGCTTGATAACATCTAATCAACAAAGCTAGGCTGGCCAGTTAATTGAAATTGAAAATAAGAGCCTGAACCGTAATGATAAACTGGAAATGACTGAGCTTTCCTTCTTGCCTGGCAAAATTTTAAACCCTCTCACCAAACCAAAACGCCCATGACAAAATCAAATGGACCCTATAACAAACTTGAGCCAGACACAAAACAAGGTCTTCAATTGCAAAACATAAGTTCCAAAGTTGGTCTATAACCATTATGAAGGCTTTTAAAATCTTTTATCACTCTACCAACATATTTATTTAAATCTCCTTCTATAAAAAGACTTTCTTTAATAGGTAGTCTTTGTATTAATTCTTCTCAGCCATTCTAAAATTTTAATTTTAAACACATATTCAAACCTACTTTAGAAGCCTAAAAACTTATAATATTAATAATTTTAGCATCAACAACAATTTTAAAATTATAATTTTATCACCGATTCTATTAATTTCTACAATATTATCCTCCAAAATCTTCTTAATAATCACACCAACATCATTTCTAGTACAACTACCTAAATATTATAGTTTAAAGTCTAGACTATCAATCTCCTCAATCTTCTTTCCAAGCCATTTAGTTTTCTGAATATATATATAATATTTATCTTCCTATGAATCATAACATATATTAATTCAATTAATTTTTCTATAAGAGAACATATATTCAAAGTTCATATCCTAATTTTAATTTCATTGACTAGCTTCTTTGCCTAAAGCTGTCCATAATATGGGAACCATTAATTTAACCAAAGAAAAAACAAAAGTTGAAACCAGGATCACAATCAAACATTAATTCACATAGGTGGTGCATAAGTAATTTTGGAGAATTAGCCAATGCCACCAGTCTGTGGCATTCTATAAAATCGATATTAAAATCTTATTTAGATATTTTTTCTAAATCCTCTATAGCCTCGAATTAAAAATTAAAAAAAAAAAACATGATTCATAAATTTAGTAAATCACTTAATAAACATAAAAAATTCAAATGCAATAAAAAAAACATAAAAATTTTGAATGGATTGATAACTATAATGAATATTATGAATAATTATTTTATCAAAGGTTAAATTTCAAAATAGTCCCCCGATAATTCGTATATGGTAATTTTAGTCCCAGAGTATAACGTTGCTTCAATTTATTCCCTCAACTATACAAAATTGATCCAAAATTATCCCATTGGACTAAATTGGGATCAATTTCGTAAAATCGAGGGACTAAATTGAGATCAATTTTATATCACAATTATAATATGAGGAACTATTTTGGATCAATTTTATATAGTCGATGAAATAAATTGGGACAACTTGATACTCTGGGACTACATTGGCCATACACGAATAGTTTAAAAAATATTTTGTGATTTTTTTTCCATCTTATCAAATAATTATCAATAACATGGATGCGCAACAGGCGTAACTTACATGAACTAGATGTTTATAGAGAAAAATGTGCAAATTAGAATACTAAAATCCTAGGTAAAAGGTTCTGCTTCAAATTTATTTTTAAAAAAGAAAATAGCATTTGCTATTTATGATGCAAATACATGAAGTAAGAAAAAAGAAAACGAATAAATAATTAACTAATCTAAACTTTCTACAGACAATACACATTTGAATTTCAGACGGGAAAGTCTGTAAACCAGAAGAAGAAAAATGATGCCAAACAATCAAGATAAAAGAAGGTTCTGTTTCGCAAAAACTTGAATGGATTTTCAATAGAGAGGAGAAGACAATGAAAGTTCTGAGTCCAAAATTTATTTTACTGTAGAATTATGAGTATAAGTTGCTAAGGCCTTAAGCAAAGCAAGAAACATAAGTATCAAGGACAATTTGTACGCTGATCACGATAGAAGTTTCAAGGGTACGTTTTTTAAAACCCTTTGTAATAGGCATTGCTTTGAAAATTTTCCATGTATGCCTTCTAAAAAATTAAGTTGACAGCATAGAGTAATAAATTTTTCATGCATAAACAGAAATTAATCAATACAACATGAAATGACAAAAAAAAGAGTAATAAAGTAAAACTGAGTTTTTATCCAGACGCCACTTAAATTATAAAATCAAACATTTACCTGATGCTATATTTCCAGGAGAATAAATGGGAAATTTTAACGCCAACTCACACCTAGTAAGACAGCCTTTCTCCCACACTAGCTTCTCAGGATCGGTTTCATATGAAATGGTACTGAATGATTCAACATTTTTAAAATTTCCCATTTCATACTTAAAAAACTGGATCGAGTCACTATTTAAATCAGCAGCTGCTCCAATTATGTCATGATGTTCAGCATTTACTGAAAGATAACTCCTCATCTTACAGGAAGCTTCTGCTGCCTTTCTAGCATTAAACTCCATGTCTCCATTGTTAATCAATAGCGCTCCAACTATATCAAACCCTCGGATGAGTAATGTCCGGATATCATCTGTTTTAAACAAAGCATAGGTAGATTTATGCTGAAATCCGCATATCAAGCTAAACATCTATTAACTACAAAACAAACGGATTGATACAATGAAGAAAGGTACATAAAGGCAGAAGAACAAAAAGTGTGGAAGCATAGGAGGAAAAGGCGTGCTATAAAGTCTCAATTAAAAAGCAGGAAATTATGAGTAGAAGAAGCAAAATAGCAAAGATACTTCAAAAAGCAAGATATATATATATATATATATATATAGAGAGAGAGAGAGAGAGAGAGAGAGAGAGAGAAGGATCAAAAAAGTCCTTCAACTCTTTGTGAGGGACCAAAATGATCCCAACTCTTTTAAGGGACCAATTTAGTCCCTCAATTCCTTAAAAAGGGGCCTTTTTTGTCCTAACATTAAATTTTGAGGTTAATGATGTTAGATCAAGGGGTATTTTGGTCATTTTTTTAATTAAGTTATTTATTAAATATAATTTCAAAATAATAGTATTTTTTATTTATTAAATATTTCTTTAATAATAAATCTAGTCTATAATGATCCTAAAATAAAACTAGAATTATTAATCATTTTTGAAATTACAACTAGAATTATTAATAATTTTTTTATTAAAGAAATGTCTAATAATTTTTTTTATTACTATTACTTAGAAATAACATTTAATAAATAATTTAATCAAAAAATGACTAAAATTCATCTTGATTTATCATCATTAACCCCAAAATTTAATGTTAGGATCAAAAAGACCCCTTTTTAAGAAGCTAAGGGACCAAAATTGATCCCTCAAAAGAGTTGAGGACCATTTTGGCCTCTTACAAAGAGATGAGGAACCATTTTGATCCTTCTCTCTCTCTCTCTCTCTCTCTCTCTCTCTCTCTCTCTCTCTCTTTATCATGGTTTAAAATTGCGCAATATGAGGCTCGCCTTGAGGCCCGCCTTTGCGCAATTCCAGTAAAAAATGCCTCGATGCTTACACCTCGAGTTTTTTTTATGAGGCTTGCACCTCAACTTGGTTGAGGCCCGCCTCGCCTCACTGGCATGAGGCTTACGCCTCACGCTATATATATATAAAACTTACATAAATCTTGAAGTAAATGACCGACATTAGACTCTATAGGAGAGGAGCAAAGGGAGAGAGCAATTCATCATAATGATGATTCAAATGAAGAACCCTTTAGTGATGACAGTGCTGATGACTTATGAGTTCTTATGTGATATGTCATTGCTATTTATTTTTGGAAATTGGAATTATATGTTAATGAAAAGAATACAGGGATTTGAGAAAGATAGAATTTTGAGTTGAACTATATTTCATGTTGTCTTATTATTGGGATATTTTGATTTCACTTCATGTCTTATGCTTTTTTATGTTTTATATTATTCACTCATTAGTATATAAAAAATTTATCATTTTATATTTACGCAATCTTTTGATTTTGAGGCGCCTTGAGGCTTACACCTCGTCTCACGAATGAAAAACGCCCCAATACTCGAATACGCAATTTTAAACATTGCTCTTTATATATATATATATATATATATATAAACCCAACGGAACCTTTAAAATACCACAACACTCAACAATACTAGGTTGGATACAACAGAAGATAATATGGATTTTAATTTTTTAAAAAACTTTCTCAAAGATTAGTTTGATACATTTTAGTTAGGTTTCAAAGGGCAATGTGCAATGTGACTGGTTTTATTTACTTCAAAGAGCAAAATGTAAAGCGATGTGCTGAACTGAAAAGCCAAATTATGCCCAGTCAAGTGAAGTGAATAGACACACTAATTGTGGACATTGTATAAGTCTAGCAAAACCAACTTTACTAAGACAAATTTTGTGGACACGCAACAAGCTATGACATAGCATCACAAGAAAATATACACTACAATAAAAAGAAAGAAAGCTTGAAAATTATAATGCACTATCACTTCAGAATGATGAAGCATATCATGTCGGACATGTGCAGGAACCTGACACCTACCCAACACATGTATCTATGTGTTCAATTAAAAGAAACAATAAAATTTAACGGATATACATTTCTAGCACATATGCCTCGAATAATAATTTTAATTTTAAAAGTATTTTACATAAATAATTTAGGCTAACATGATCATTCTCTTTTATATTGAAATCAATTACTTAAATAACCTAATAATTACTCAACAATAAATTTATTTTCCTTATGTTTCTCTAATTTGATGTGATTTCTCATAATGTTTATTTTTATTTTTTTACAAAAGAATCAATTTTTTAACTTCAAGTTAACAATCTATAATATCATGCGATAATTTTTTCTTCAATTGAATTTAAGATATTTAATAATTTGAAATATGTATTTAATTTTATAAACAATTGAAATAAATTTATTATTATATGAACTTATTTCATATTTATTTAATTGTGAAATTATTATATATTTCTTGACTTTTAAAATATAATATTATAATGTCATGTCCAATTCATATCCTTAATTTATATTTTCAATTATAAATATTTGCATCATAGCTTGAAAACTAGAACTTGGAAGTGAACAATACCATTTCTACTGAAAATCATAAAGAAACCTAATAGCAACTTTAGGAATTGTTGAGCCACATAAAAATGTCATTTTGATAGGGTTTAGGGTTTAGGGTCACTGCTTCAAAATCATAAAGAATTTTTTTGCTTCCACCCAATTACATTATTTATGGCCACTGCCACCAAGATTCAACCTATTTTCCAGAAAAAAAAACTAGGGTAAACATCTGGGTGCACCAACAAGAGTAGGTATTAGCAAAAAATGAGCTAAAACTATGTCCTAACATTCCCAAATAAAGTTTTTTGCGCATACTGATTGACACAAAGCTAAATAAAATTTGGAGGCAATTGGTTTGTGTTCATTTAGTAGTTAGGTAAATAAGAAAAGTTTCTCAGTTTTTCTAGGTTCTATACAAGTTTCTTTTAAGAATATCCTTCAGAATGTGCAAAAGCTAAAGAAAGAGTTTTTTGAGGTTTCAAGACATAAATCCACAAAACGTTTCTTCAATACTGAAACCACTTCAAAATATTCCATCAATACAAACATCTCAGTTGTGATCTCACAATGCTGCCATTCAAGGAAAATACCTGTACTAGGAGCCATAGCTCAGTTCTCTTGAGAATAAGCTAAATTGTGCAAGCCTTAAAGCAAATTTGCAAACTTAATGCATTAGGAACATGCAACATACATTCTATTCATCAACGCAGGACTTTATTTATCTTTTTTTCTCCCTAGTCAGACACTGGACTCACTTTTTGCTAACATGGAATAGATTCCTTGATCATGAAACCCCTACCCAAAAACGATCAAACTCCCTCAACAAAAGACTATCATAACATGAACAACCACATGACAGAATAACTCTATAAAAATAAGATCAATAAATAGAATTATAACTAAACATTTGCTCCTCAAAGCACCATCCATCAATCAAAGACCTTCATCCTTCTTTCTCTTGAGGGATTTGATTAACATTTTACATTCTTTTTAGAGCCTTGCAATGCCCTGCAAACAACGTAACAACCCACTATCAGTCTTCCAATCAAATTCAGACCCCTGGCCTGCCTAGCTGCAGACTACTACCTCAGTCACCTCTGCCAAAGGATTCATCTCAGCCATAGAGCTATGACAGAGACCTCTATCCTCACCATCAGTTCATGATCACTCAATTACCTCTATAACCTTATGTATCAGGCTGCAAGTATAAGTGTAGTAATGTATTATATAACAAAATGTATCACCACATCCATATTTCTCTTTCAATATAATGCAATGCCTTTAGTTGCCTCTTATCTTCTTATTCTTACTTAATACTCCGTTCTCTATAGCTTCTATACAATTCTAACATGGTATCAGAGATCCAGCCTAACAGCATACGCTCCTGTAAGTAGACCAGCCTAACTCCTCTACAAGCCACAGTCAGCACCGAACCCCTTTTCTTTCCCAAATGGCTGACACGGTCATTCCTCCTCTCAAATTCCTCATGGCAAACATCAGATCCAGTGAAACAATGCCTCTCTCTAATGACAACTATCCCATTTGGACAGCCCATATACGCAAACTCTTCAAGGCAAAAGGGTTTGAGAAGTTCTACTTGAGTCAGACCACTGACCACCCAAATTTATTCCTGATGGCAATAGGCAATTCATTGTAAACCCAAAATACAACACTTGGCAACAGGTTGATCAAAATATAGCAACCGCCATGGTCTCTACACTCTCAAGCATCATCCTGCCGTATGTCCTGAATCTTGAGAGCACCTCTGCAACATGGATATAATCTGAAAAATGGTTGCAGTCCTCCAACATATCAAGAGTATTCAGCTCAATATTGAGCTGCATCACATCTATATCAAGAATCAAACTATGACAAAATACTTACAAAGGCTAAATCCATCGTCTACAATACCGTGGCTATAGGATAGTCAATCTACAATAAAGGCATCATACAATATACACTTAGCGGATTACCTCCAAGATATCAAAGCTTTCAAGACACCCATCTGTACCGAACTCACACTGATAATTCTCGATGATTTCTACACACTAGTCGCTATTGTGCAGTGAAGAGATCAACACCGTTGTTGAATCTATGAAGGAGCTCATGATCAGCAACTCCACCCTTGTCTTCAAGCATTCAGCAACCATGGCACAAGAGGCTCCTAGCCGCGGGAGGGGGGGTGTTAAAACTCTATAAGATAAATTTGTTCATAATTTCCCAAATATGTGGCAAGAATGGCCATTTGATAGTAGATTGTTGGCACTGTGCAAACCCATAAGATAATCCCCTCTCCAGTAGTCAAAACCAACATGTACTTATAACTTTGCTCAACAACATCAGAGTGGTTTTTAGACTCTAGTACCTCCTCTTCATCTCAATCCTATGCTAGAAAATCCATAGCAATAGTCTTCATACACAAGAATTGACCAAGTTACTGACAAAAATAGTAGCAGTGTAGCCATAACCCACATCGA